GACAGAGGTCCCTTTCTTTTTTCTTTTGTTTTTTTTCTATTTGACTTTATTTTTTTTTATATTTTCTTTTTATTGGAATATACTTGCTTTACATGGTTGTGTTAGTTTCTGCTGGACAACCACATGAATCAGCTATATGTATACATATACCCCCACCCCCTGTATACATATACCCCGCGCCCTCCAGCCTCTATCCCACCCGCCACCCACCCCCCTCCCACTCCCATCCCACCCCAGAGCTCCCTTTCTGATTTGGGCAGGAAGGGAAAAGCTCCCGTTTTTAGAGGGAGGTGACCCCTGAACTCTCCTCTCGTCACCTTGGGGATGCCCGTGACCCCTTCTGCTCTGGTAATAACCTCTCTGCTGGTTTCTGATCCCCAGACTGAGGGGGCCGCAGGGTGGAGCTGGAGAATTTCGCTTTCCTGGGCAGGGTTAGGCAGTTCCTGAAGCAGCGGAGTTGTTTGGGTGCAAACATTTCCCTGTATTGTCCGGCTTCAGAAGGCAGCCAAAAGTCTAGGCGGGAGGGAGGGAGCTATAGCAGAATTTTCCTCCCCTCTGCCCCTAGGAAGACAGGATCCTCAAAAGCTCACAGGTGGGGGTTGGGAGGTCGTCTCAGGCCCTGGAGGATGCAGAGGAACAAGGAGACAGAACAGGGGGCTCTGCTGGGCAGGACAGGGAGGCAGGGGGGTTGGTCTTTGATTCGTGTCCAACCAAACGATGAGACTGTACCTGCCCCAGAGGATGCTGGGAGATGCGGTCACTCCCTTGCAGGCTGGCTTTTTCAGATTAGCCATGGTTTTCTCTTCTGATGCAGCAGATGGCCAGCCTCCACTCTCGGCTGAGCTTGCCTCCTCCTCCTGCGGCTTCTGCTCTTTGCCCTCTTTTCTGGGGTCGGTGGCTCTGGAGGTGGGGCCTTCTGGAGGCGGAGACAGGGATGCCCACACAGTATGCTATTTAGGTCTCAAAAATGCCCCAGTTACAGATGGGCAAGCTGGCGTTCAGCTAGTAGCTGGGAGGGGGAGACCCTAGAGCCTCCTGCCATTGCAAGGTCCCAGTGCCCCACCACCTGCCCCTGCAGACCTCCAAGGTCTCTGCTCTCTCTGTCTTGGGGTCTTTTAATAAGAAGGCCCCTCTCCCCAGACCCCCAGCTTCTGCTTTCCCCCCCAGGAATTCCAGAAAGAAGTTCCTCTGTGTCAAGATGGCAGTGGGAAACGTCGCTTTGCATTTTGGGTGGTTCCCAAGCGATGCTCCACAGAATGTTCTTTTGGGAGAGAAAAAAAGGTTCTGGACCTGATAAGCTGGAGAGACACTGGATTTGACAAGTCAGACAGACTTCTCTCTCATGGGACTTCTCAGAACCTTAGTCTATTTTGATCTATTAAGAAGGGGCTTCCCAGGTGGCTCAGTGGTAAAGAATTCGCCTGTCAATGCAGGAGATGCAAGAGATGCGGTTCAATCCCTGGGTTGGGAAGATCCTCTGGAGGAGGAAATGGCAATCCATTCCAGTATTCTTGCCTGGAAAGTTCCATGAACAGAGGAGCCTGGCAGGCTGCAGCCCATGAAGTCACAGAGTCGGACATGACTAAGCGAGTACACGCATACACCGGTATGCAGTGTTTCCCACGCTTATTTGATATTAGTGCCTTTTTTCTCCATGAAATCTTTCCTAGGACAAGCAGGACATGCTCTGGGCCATGCGGATTTTGAGGACATCTCTGGGCTTCTTGGTCTTCTCTGATGTTTCAGACAGTAAGGAATCTGCCTGCCATGCTGGAGACCCAGGTTCGATCCTTGGATCAGGAAGATCCCCTGGAGAAGGGACCCAGCAGAGATGGTGGCTGTGGCTAAGGATGCTTCTTTTTTCATGTTGAGTGGGAAATGGTCAATGTTGAAGGAAGCTGGCCGTGGAGGTTCTCTGGTGTCAAGCAAGTGGAGATCTGGTCACAAGAATCGCCTGCTCTTCCTTGGTGCTGAATGGAGAAGAGCTGGCAGGTGGACTGAAGGAGGTAGGGACAGACCTTGTTTGTCTCGCTAATTTCTTCTAAAAATATGAGTCATGATTCGGTCAACTCTGACCAAGTTTGGGCAAGACCCAGGCAGTTGGGAAGCCGGGAGGATTTCGCTCATCCAGTTGGTGTGAAGTTCTGGAAAGGGCAATCTCAACTTCAGCAGATATCCGACTCCAAGACCAGATCTGGGGACAAGTTACCAAGGATCTTACCAAATATCTCCCTGTCCCCTCCTGACAGCTAGAGTCCCTAGACTCCATGGGCAGGCTTAACTCTGCCACAAACTCTGGGGCTGGACGTGCCCTCGGTTAGGGCGTTCCAGAAGGAGCCAAGTTCAATGTCCAACCTTGCGTCTTAGTTCTAAAAACAGAGGCTCAACTTTGCTCCCAGGGCCCCTCTTACCAATTCTTCCTCGGCATGAGAGACTTGGACCCCAGCTGTATGCTGAGGACTCTCTTGCCTGCTGTTGGATGTTCCCGGCTCTGCCCTCTTGCTTGGTTCCCAGGTCCCAGGTTCCTGATGCTGAGTCCCATGGACCTGTTGGACCCCTGCTTCCCGTCAACTCTAGCTTCCCTTTGCATCTTCCAAGTCCCAGGCCCCAGGGCCTCTGGATGGGCTTTCTGCAGGTAATGTTGTTTCAGAGCCCGGTCCATCTCAGAGGGAGTCCAGCCACTCCGTCCTCTCTTCTTCCAGTCTGCAGTTCTCTCGGACACCAGCTGGGCAAAAAGGAATCATTTGACTCAAGCCTGGGGATAAGACCAGGCCTCTTGAGACTCACTCCACTCTCTTGCTCATTCATCTGGTTACATATCATTTCTATCAACATTTGTGGACTTAAGCAAGGTCACACTCTGAAATCAGTGGTGCTCAAGCTGAGGGGGCAGCGTAGGCCTATGGGACATTAAAAAAAACAGGCTGTTGATTTCATAGATCTGGGGTGGGGCCCAGTCATTTGTATTTCTAACAAGTTTCCAGGTGGTGTTGATGCTCTGAGCCTGGGGACCACAGTGAGGACAGGTCGCATCATTGTCAGCTCTCAAAGCCTACCTGTGGACTAGCTTATCGAGCCATTAAAACCAGAAGCTCCCCCAAGAGAGGGCTGGATGGAGCGAGGCTGTGGACCTGAGAGGGGAGATGAAGCAAAAGACAGAGGCCATAAAATTAGTTGGGGGCACAGAGGACGAGTCTTTCTCTTTCCTTGGCCGGGCTGGGCCTCAGAGCTCAGGGTCTGGGGACAGAGGGAGGCAGGCAGGCCTGGGAAGTCTGGGGCTCTGCTGAGCAGAGGCTGGGATTCGGCCCCGGCCCAATGCACCTGACCCGTGGCTCTGGGAACAATGGCTGGCCCGGCGCTGCCTGGCCTGCTGCCTGGCACATCTCTGTTTTCCTTCCCAGCTCCCATCTCCCCATCCTCTCCTCGCCTGCTCTCTCTCCGGCGGGCCCATCCTGTCCGCTGGAGCCTGGACAACACATTCCTTCGTGCTGATCTTTTCCCGGCGGCTGCAAGCGCACGTTCTCATTGCGAGGCGAGGAGAGTGGCCAGGGACTGGGGTGAGGCAGAAGGGGGCTAAGGCGGGCCTCCCTGGGGCCCTGGTTCCCACATTCAGAGACCAGGAGGCACCTGGTGGGGAGAAAGGGGTCCCACAGGACCCAGCCAGCCCGGGGCACTTGGACTCCTTCCTTCCCAACCCTGCGTATCCTGTTATTAGATGAGGACCAGACACTGGGAGCCCCATGCATAGCCACCCTCTGTCGAGAGTGGCCCTGATCCAGCTGGCCCTGGGCATGGTCTGTTCCCTGTGGAGGAAGGCTCAATGCGTGGGGGAATCGTCCCTTCTGGAACAGGCCCTCCCCGGGGCGGGCAACCATTCCTGCAAGTCCTGTATTGCCTCTCCCTTCTCCATGCCTTCTCCGTAAGTGATCCCAGCCATTCAGAGGGGCCTGCTGTCCAGCCCAGCAGCACAGAAGGTGGGGGCTCATGTCCTGGTCTCCCTGCAGTCTTTCCTGGGCTGTTTATGCCGCGCCAGTCCTCTGCCTTGGGACCAGGTGCAAGGTTCACTTTTGGGGTCAGGGTCAAGATCAAGGTTTAATTTGGGATTGAGATTAAATCCCCCAAAGCTCAGTCTGAGCTGGGCTTAGGTGTCAGCCTGTATTTCAGGTTGGAGTCCAGTCAGAGTGGAGTTGTGGTTTGATTGGATGCCAGGCTCAGTCTGGGGTCATGGCTGGGCTTAGTCTAGGGTGGGTATTGGGGTCAATCTGGGTTTGGGGTCAAGGCTTGGACTGGCATCAGACTGGGCCCTCAATGTGAGGGCTGGACCTGGGTGTTGAGTTGACTGAGGCAGGTACCTGTTAAGGGTGACCCCTGGCCCCTCCCCACCATCTCCCTCCCCCCAGTGCCCACCCCTGCAGAACTGTTTCCTGACTCCTGAAGCCTCTTCAAGGGTCCAGAGGCAGAATGAAGGCTGGAACCCAGCTTGGGTGGCTGGGGAGGTTGTCCAGTCTGGCTCTTTCGTTTTCTTGTAGCAAAATGTACCCCAATGCCTGGGCCGGACCTGAGGACACAGAGGGTATCTCACAGCCCCTCGGGCCTCTCTGGGCCTCAGTTTCACTGTCTCGGAGGCTCAGTGTTGGGGAGGTGAGCTCCAGAAATTGGACACCTTGGGCAGCTATGTCAAGAGGATTAGAGGAAGGAGGGCGGGGTGGTGGGAGGGGGCACTTCAAAAGATCTGGCCTGGAGCAGGGCAGGGAGGGGGGCTGACCTGGGCAGGGGAGGAAAGAGGGGTGGGAAAGGACAGTTCTTCCTGGGACCCCACTGGGTGAGGGTCTATAGCGCAGGAGGCATCTAGGGTCCCTTAGTGGCCAATGGTGCCACCTCCTCTGGGGACACGGAGCCTCCCAGACAACAAATTTGGCTTAAAGGTTAGGGCTCAGGGGTGGGGGTAAGGGGTCCCAGCGCTGCTGCTGACGCCTGATGCCCTGACGCCTGCCCAGTAGGTGACCCCTGCACTGCTCATCAGCAGGGCCCCCCACCGCCCCCACAAGCTTTCTGGGACCAGGAGGACAGGTCAGAAGACCGGGGCTGCCCCCAGCCTCTGGTCCTTCTCTTGCCTTTTCAGCTCGGGCCCCTAATCCGACCTCCTTCTGTCGAAGCCGCAGACACAAAAGAGAAGCCCCGATTGACGTCAGGCGAAGCATTCACAGGGCCTCTGTCTCTCCCAGAAATTTGGCTCCGGTGACCGGTGTGGATGTCTGTGGTTTTTAAAAGGTGAAAATGGCCCCTAGCCCTGCTTCTGCATCCCCACCGAAGCCTGGCAGGGGATGGGCGGTCTGGGGGAAGGGGGGCTCCGGGGTCCTGGTCCTACACCAGGGCTGGGTTGGACTGGTGAGCCCCTTCCCCTCTCTGAGGCCTCCTCCCCAGCCCCCCAGCCCTCTCCCCTGTCTCCCACTCACTTGCAGACCTGGACATCCCATGCTCCCCTGTGGTCCCCAGCAACTCCTGCCCCCTGGCCTCACTGCCCCTTCTCCTTGCCCCCAGCTCCTCTTCATGCCAAGGCATTGACCCTTCCCATGCCAAGGGCCCACTGCCCAGAGTTCCTGGGGGCTGCCTGGCTCATGGACCTCTGGGTACCTGACACCCCCTACACCAGCCCCAAGCCTGGACATCGTAGGTGCTCAGTGAGACTTTGCTGGCTCAGGTTGGATGAATTCCTCCTGAAACCTCCGTCTTCTCTCATACTTTACCCCAATTTGATGTGGATATTTGAACCACTGATTTCTGGAAACCATTCTGTGCCCCAATCAAGGGCTGCTGGGAGGAGCTGGGGGAACCAGATGGCTGTTGTGCCCTCGGTCAACCTGACCCAGCTCAGCCCAGGGCTGGCCCCTCCATGCAGACGGCCCTGATGGCCAGGCTTCCTCAGGACCTGCACACAGTCAGCAGGCCAGGCTTGCCTCCTGATGCCAGCCCTGGGCACCAGAACCCCCCTCTTGACATCGAGGGGCCCACAGTCCAGGATGTACGTACGGGGAGAGAAGAAAAACTCAATCTCTAATTCTTGCTCGAGCCTTCTCGACTTCTGCTGCAGCCTCAAGGCCACGGACAGCTGTATGATGACTCCTTCCGTGGGCCAATGGCCCCAGCTCCGTGGTCAACCTGACCATGACCCTGCCTTACTTAATCCCCTTGGTCTCCTATCATTTATGGAACATTGTCTGAGCAGCTGACGCCAGCCACCCACACCCATACTTTCTATTCCCTGTCCATTCATCACTCCTTGGCTCCTGCCAAGGACTCTTCGTGTCTCTGAGGCTTTACCTGGCCCTTCCTCAGGCCTCACGTCCCAGCTAAGACAGGGATCACCTATACCCCTGCCCTCCCCAGGCACCCCACTAGAACTGGAGGGCTCCTGAGTGTGGTCAGGATCTGGGAGCCCCGCGCTGGTCTTCAGAGCAAAGCAGAGTCACTGTGTGATCCCACTGGAGCCAGCACCCTTTGCCCCCTTGTATTCATTCGTGAGACCACTGAGGCCAGGAGAGGGAAAGTGACCATCCCAAGGTCACATGGGCGGTACAGCTCACCCTCTGATTCTTCTTTGCGATTTTCCTTTGGTTGATCTATTGCTGTCTCCACCTGGGATCACTTGACTGGGCTTCACAGAGAACCCAACTATTGGGGAAACACCTCTCCCAGGAGGCCTTCCCACAACTCCCCAACCTTCCAAGCCTTGGACCCTGCCTGCTGCCTGGCGTGGTACCCAGGACCATCCTCATCAGAATCTCACCTTCACCTCTGTTGCTCTCTGACCATGGGCAAACCTTTGTCTTTTTTTCTTCTGAAACCCCAGTTGACCTCATTATAGAACCAAGACATTGAACTTGTTGACCTTTGAGGCTCTGCTGTTGGAACTAGGGGTTGATCCGGCAGGCTGGGCCAAGGGTCTTGGTGGCCTCTCAATGTTGGGACGAAGTGTGGCAGGGAGGAATTTGGAGTGGGAGGCTGCAGTCCTGGGTGAGAACGTGCATTCACCTCTCAGACACTGTGTGGTCTCAAGCAAATTCCACTCTGGGCCCTCGTTTCCGAAGAAACGGGGAAACCTGCCAGGCTTGGCTTCCTGTAGGGTGATTAAGTGCGACCAGGGCTTTGAAGGTGTTTGCTGAATCAAAGGGCCGTGCTCAGGGGCTCGAGCAGGCTCCCCCGGCCCACAGTGCTCCTCCCGGGGGGCCTGGCTTAGAGAGACGGGGCGGATGAGCCCCACGTGGTGGCCTGCCGAGGGAACGTGGCAGGTGTCTGGACGCTGCGTCCCCGGGCGACTTGTGCGGGCAGCCTTCCCGGCAGCTCATGCTCTGTTCCCAGCTGGTCCCACTGCTGGGCAGCTCCCCCCTCCCCACCACCACCCCCGCCCATGGATAGGAGGAGATGGGGGGGAGCCACCTGGCACTGGCCCAGGTTGGCCGGCCTCCCACCCCATGTTTTGTTCGCAGAGTTTGGAATGTCCTGGGACGAGGAGCTGGGCTCCCTGGGGAGACATGGGTGCCATCTCCTTGATCTCATCGCTGGACAGGTTTCTCGCTCATTCCAGCCTGGGACTCGGCAGGCTCCCAGCCCCAGCTGCTGCCAGTCCTGCTCTGTCTGTGTCTGTCCCAGCGCTGGCAGCCAGGAGCCGTGCGGCTGGGAGCCGGGGGGCTTCCCGGAAGGATCGGGGAGCGGTTCTCCCAGGCCGTCTGCTGTGGGCCCTGGGCATGCCTTGAACGGCTCTCTGCAAACCCTTTCCAGCTGCTTTTCTTCACAGACTTCTTTGCCCGTGATCCCCTGATCCTGGGGGTCTGTTTGAAATGATGTTCTCAGGACCTAAGGAAGGGGCAGAGAGGGCCCAACTGCTTTGATTTCTGGTTCCCAGGGGACAGGCTGTGCACAGTGAAAAGATGTGTGTGTGTGTGTGTGTGCGTGCGTGCGTGTGTGACTTTGCACATGCATGGAGTCTTTTTGAATTCCTAGTTTTATGTATCCCTGGACTTGATTCATTGCAGGAAGAGGTTGGGGTAAAGGGCTAGGGAGGTCAGGGGTCTAGTTCAGGAAGGAGTCCGTCCTTTCCTGGACAGCAGATGCCTCTGGGTGGCTGGACACTCTGCACCCCGACTTGGGCCCACATGCTCAGGTTGGGTCCACCTGACTGGAAAGAGGAACAAGTGCAGCTGATCCTGTTGTCAGAAACGTGCAAATACGTGTGTGTGTGTGTTCACACACACGCACATGCATACCCAGGTCAGGAAGGAGATTCATCATTGCCTTGCCACGGGATACTCCTGGTGTACGGAGCTCACACCTGGCTGGGCTGTGGGGTTGGAGTATCCCGGTAGTGCAAGAGGAATCCCCACTGGAGGAAAAGAGCCCCGGAGGGACCCCTGCAGTCTGTCCTCAGCTTGGGCAATCCCTGGCCTGATGTAGGTCAGTACCCGCCCCAGGCTCGGGTAAATGCTCTTCTTTCCACTTCATTAATGAGGAGACTAAATAAGTCAGTGCCTCTGGCAGGCCCTTGAGCCCCCCAGGCAGCCTGGCTGAAGCTATTAATATTCCCCGTGTTTATGACCCCGCTGGCCCCGCCGACGGGCTCCTCTCTCTTAGCCGTTGGAATGAATTTTGTGAATCAGAAGGGGGCGGGGGTAGGGGGGCAGCCTGTTGGAATCCAGGACCATGACATCTCCACCACCTCCTGTGGCGGGTCCCACTCACTAATTCTATAAAACAGTCACCATGTTCAGCCCAGCCAGGGGCCGCCTGCCTGGCCAGGACTGCCTCATACCTCTGCTATGCTCTCTCCCTCCCCCTTGGGTGGGGGGGGATGCTGGCCCAGGGCCCTGATGATTCAGGCCCCCTGACACCTTGCACTGATGTCAGTGGGAACTGAGACCTCAGGCCCCGCGACCTTCTGGCCTGTTGCCTGGGCCCGCGCCCTGCACGGGGCTTGGCCCCGGCCGGTGCCTCTCGTGACCTTCCCATGGACCAGGCCTGGCCGGGAGAGGGAGTCCAGGCCAGACAGCCTCTCCCTCACGCTGTCCCTTTTCTGAAAGCTGCCCGCCCTGGCGCCGGGCCGTCCCCCAGCCTCCTCGGGTTTCGAGGACTGTTCTAAAATTAATATGGGGGAATTCGGGGAATTTGCAAGCGAGTTCCCAGAGAACTGTGGCTGCCCTGGGGGCAAGGGCCCCTGCTTCTTCCCACCCTCCCCTGATTCTCCTTTCTCTGATTGCCTATATGGGCAAATCCCCGTGGGAGCAAGCTCACTCCCCAGAGGGCAGGGTAGGTTGCCTGTGGTCTGTACCTCGGATCAGGGTTATCTCCCCTCAACACCCCCACCAGAGAGAAGTCCTTCATCCAACATACTCTCTTAAGTCATTTGAAATATGATTTGCAAATATTTTCTCCCATTCTATGAGTCGTCTTTTCACTTTCTTGATAGTGAGTTTTGAACCACAGAAGTTATTTGTTGCGGTGAAGTCCAATTTACCTATTTTTTTCCCCTGTGCTTTTGGTATCATATCCTTGGCAGTGGCCAAGGTCATGAAGATTTATCTACGTGTTTTCCTCTGCGAGTCTGATAGTTTTAGCTCTTACATTTAGGTCTTCGGTCTATTTTCAGTTAATTTTTATATATGGTGTGAGGTAGGGGGTCCAACTTCATTCTTCTGCTGTGGCTCTCCAGTTGTTCCAGTACCATTTGTTGCAAAGACTGTCCTTTCCTCCACTGAGTGAAGTCTTGGCATCCTTGTCAAAAATCAATTAACCATCAACGTAATGGTTTATTTCTTAATTCTTTTGCACCTGTCTCTATGTCTGTCCTCATGGCAGTACTACAGGGTCTCCATTACTGAAATCAGGAAGTGTGAGTCTTCTGACTTTCTCTTCTTTTTTAAGATTGTTTTGACTATTTGAGATTCATTGCATTTCCATTTGGATTTAGGAAGAGTTTTTCCATTTGTGCAAAAAAAAACACCATCGGGATTTTGAGAGGGCTTGCATTGAATCTATTTTTGGTAACTTTGTCATCTTAATAATATCAAGTCTTCCAATCTATAAGCATGAGATGTCTTCTCATTTATTTAGATATTTAATTTCTTTCCATGATGTTGTGTAG